GTGATTTTCCTAATAATGTCCATCCCAAAACAGTTTCCATGGCCACCACACCAGATTTCAAAATTTCTCGTCGCCCCGTATAAAGAGCGCCCGCGAAATCAGCGCCTATGAGAAGCTCGATAGGGTCGCAACCTTCAGCATCCTTTATCTGTATGCCGAAGGATTTAAGTTCATCATTATATAGTCCACGTGACATAGATGAAACTCCCTGACATATTAATTTTTGGTCAAGTACCTCAATCTCATAAGTACACGAACCCTTCACCAACTTAATGTCGTAACAATTATGTGTTTGTGTCATTTGAGATCCACCAAACAATCCATGATTTATCGTCTCCTTTCGTTTTGGGCCATAACCTAGCGACGCAGCGATTGTTTTAAGAATATAAGATCGTTGCGATCCACTATCGATCAATGCTCGCACAGAACGAAGGCCATTTGTTGTTTCAATATTTACATGTAAGGTTTGCAGTAGCACCTCATTTGTTGATTGATTCGATAGCGTCTGATCAACCTTTTCGACTTTATCAATTTTATCACCTGCTGATGATTCATTTCCTCGCTGATGGTTAGGTAAATTAGGACACATTAATACTACATGCTTTCTATTACAAAGAATACATTTTAATTGACTTTTGCATTTCTTTGACAAATGGCCAACTTTAATACAACAATAACAAGCCCTTTTTTCTGTTACCCTCTTTTTTTTCTGCTCCATAGACATTTTCTGAGCCTTGAAACAAACTGCGCTCTCATGTGAGCCCTCACAGAAAATACATTTGTTGAACTCTGAATTAATCAATCCAGCTGCAGTTGGTATATTGGGTAGCCTTTTTTGCTCCATTTGTTTGTCCCTCTTTTCACCAACGTCCCTTTTTATTAAGTTCGTCATGGAACGAAGGCCAAAACCCTCTGCTGCAAGCGTAATGCGCTGCTCGTTTTCCACTTCAGCTTTTAGAAAGGCCATTAATTTTTGGAGACGGTCCTCTAACGTCGACACATTGTTAGTTGAATCTGATAAAGCACTCGGCAAGGCGTTTGGCAACCTTTGCCAGACCCTTAAAAGATCTTCCGGTAAACACGATTCTATAAGTGGGAATATTATCGCGGAACATTGACCAGAAGTAATCCCAAGTGTGTCCAATGCCCGCAATTGCGTCTCAAGCTCGTCATATAATAACGAAATGTCAGGCCTACTTGTTGATGTTGCGTTAACCAAAATTAATCGTAATAAACCGCGAACGTACACTTCGATTTGAAGATCTTCACGACCGAAACGCGCTTTAAGACTATCGACGATTTTCTCGTAATTATCGGCCAAAGCGGGAAAACTATCGACGAGTTGTCTTGCACGACTACCCGAAACCGTTGCCTGCGTTAAATAGTCAATTTTATCGTTTTCGTCTATATCGGTGGCTTCGTGCACTTTTTTAAACTGCCCCCAAAAAGGTAGCCAGTCTTTAATGTTGCCGTCAAACTTTTTAAACTCAATAACAGGTAATTTAAATGTACGCTTACCCGACTGCCGATGGACAGCGCCATTCGATACATGGGTGTCAACACTCACCCCTGATGCTCGATCTTCTACCAGTAGCTTTTCACATTTCACCTTTATATGTGTGAATTTCCTGATATAAATATCACATTCGTCGACTTCGGTGACCAAGTCTTGTTCCTCCGTGTCGACCTCCAAAAGTCCAGCATAAATTATGGCATCAGCCGCTCTCAAGTCTTCGTACTTTTGTAACAACATATTCCATGCCACTTGGATACCCTCAATATCTTTTGGAACAGCCACCAGCAAAGACTGTAGCTCATTAACATAGCGCGTCACTGCACTACGTAATACTCGCCGGTTTTTCCTTTGTGCTTCCATTATTATTATTATAGACTAGTTCATACAAGTTTCGATTCAAAATCACGTACTTTCATTAGAATACCAATGCAAAAGCCGTATAAACTCATCTCGTACGTACTCACGTAACCATACGATGAACTAACTGTAAAAATAGTCCTGTCACGGTCGCCATTATGTTCCGTCCACAAACAAAACTACCCGTTTTCCCCGGACGGCAAGGTTCTCTTCTTAAGACAATAATGTCAAGCAAAACTCTTTATTAGCACACAGTTTTAACATAACATAATTAAACCGGTCATGTCTAGAAATATAATAAATCTAAAAACTTCATTCTAACAACAATTAAATTCTGACATTGATTCAACAAAACTCTCTGACACTTCGTGCAGTGATATACAGGGATATAAATCAAAATTTACATACATTGCTCATAAGCATCTAACATTAGTTGACAGTTGTCAAATGTCATACAATCGTTAAAATAAATTGCCTTTCTTGTAAAATAATACTAAATGTGAAAATTATGTTATTATCTCAATACAAAATACAAAAGTATTAAATAGTTTCTCAACGCCAATATTTGAAAAGTTTATATGAACATTGTACTGACCTTTTAATTTCGCCGGCAGTAAACTATAACTTAAATTCGAGCACGGACCCCACTGTAAAGTGCTCATAAAACATTTTATTTACTTTCACTGTGAAAAACTGTCAATTTTCAAGAAATACATTTATCGATTTATAACCTTTATGCACGATGACATTATAATATGACAATTATAACAAAAATTCTTTGACGTAAACGTCTTTTTATAGCCCGCGGGCGTTATTATGGCCCAGCGGGCTAATGTTACACCATTTGATATATTCTAAGTAAGTTTTTTCGTATAAAGATTTTGATTTTACCGGCAGCAGGCCGCAATTTTTCGCCTTTTCAGCTGCTTCCTCAATTTCATTTATCTTTAAACTTTAAAACTGACTGATATCAGTTGACATTATAATATGACAATTATAACAAAAATTCTTTGACATAAACGTCTTTAAAAACAATAATATATTAAAAATAATAATAAATTAATCGTGCATAAAGTTTTGTATGCATTGCTGGCATAACTGGTTTTTATGGTCCTAAGACGCTTTTCTAGCCCTCGCGCTAACGCGCTCGGGCTCGAAATAGCGCCTCGGACCATAAAAACCTTATTATGCCCTTAATACATAAATAACTATTATAATTGTGTTTATAAAATACAAAAATTTGACATTTGACGGTGACACACAGATTCCCCTATTGTTTCATAGATGGCGCTCAATTCAAATTTTTGATTTAAATCATTTTAAGATAATAATAAGTATTTGTCGTAGAAAAAGTATAGTATGCACGTCGTTTATAAACTTTTCTATATAAATGGCGTTTGATACATAATATACTATTCAATACCAGCCATCTCCATTGATGTTTTAAGTACAAAAATGAACTTAAAATGCCCAAATCCCTTTGAAATATATGTTTTTCTAATTAAAACTTAAACCTGGTTACTTATTTTGTAGAAAAAATATTTTCAGTTACAATATGAACAAGTTTTTCAAAATATATTTATTTTTTACTCATTACTGTTTAGAATGGTTTTTTGCTGTTTACTTAAAATATTCTTCAAAGGCAGATTTTGAAATTAGACGACACAATTATATAAAACCTGAAAATAAGAGTCCATTAATTGCTCCAGTACAATACTCGAAGATTCCATGTAAGTTGTTCTACGCTAATAATAGCAGATGCAAAAAATTAAATGATTATAACGCATTGTTTTTTATTAAATTTGTACATATCATTATTCTTTGTAACTGATTGCTAGACTTGAAAGGCAGGTAATATACTTAATACTCGGAAATTTCCTATGTTTATTATTTAACTTGGGCTAAGGCTTTCAAATGCGTAGAATTTTGAGGTCTAATATTAAATTTTTTCACGTAAAACGGTTATACCACAATGAAATTTAAATTCCAATATTATTTGTTTGCTATTACACATAAAACTTACTTTATAAATTAAATTTATTTAGCAGCACGCGATCATTAGGGAAAAAAGTATTTGAAAAAAAAATCATATCTTCTTAACAAAAAGCTTTGGCTAACAGTCCCTTAGCCAAAATGCAGTTTGGCTGCCTACTTTTTGATAAACAAAAATTAAAAATACACTTTTTGAAAAATTAAATTTTGAAAAAATTCTGTACTTTTCGTTTTATATCGTATAAAAAAATTATCACAATGAATTTAAAAATTTTGTTAGTTTAAATGGAAAGTTTTATTCACTACAAGCATTTTGCAAGTTCAATCGTCAAAATCGGTCAATTTTTGAACAAGTTATAAGCATTTAAAAAAAGCTTTTTCGGTCAACCGAAAAAATCGATTTTTAACGCAAATAATAAATCGCGAAAATTTTTTTTCGCCAAAAAAAAATACGTGTCTCATTTCGAATAAAAAACAACATATTAAAGTTTCATGGAAAAAGAAAATCATAACCTGCGCGTACGGGTTGTTTTGAAATGGAAAGAGCCTATATAAAAACAAACAAAATTCCTTATGTGCAGAAGTAAATAATGGTTACGCTACAAGTTACTAATTTTTTGTTTCTTTACTTTTGGCCGCTTTAAAAACTATAAAATTTTATTACTATAATATAATATATAATATATTATAATGTGTGATTATTTTAACCTTATGATTGATACCAAATAAGTTTTAAGTTAAGAGAATATTAGGCAATATTAAGCAATTTAACAAACATTTTAAAATGTTTCTTTACTTTTGGCCAATAGTGTACATGTTTAATAAAGTTTTTTTAAATTTTTTTCCGTAAATAATCAAAAAAAATAATATATTTTAACCTTATGATTGATACCAAATAAGTTTTAAGTTAAGAGAATATTAGGCAATATTAAGCAATTTAACAAACATTTTATAATGTTTCTTTACTTTTGGCCAATAGTGTATGTACATGTTTAATAAAGTTTTTTTAAATTTTTTTCCGTAAATAATCAAAAAAATAATATATAGGCCTGATAGCCGATACGGCCGTATTTTCATATCGGTATCGGTATAGGTCGATCACTATTGATAAAATGCTTGGGGAGTTTTAATTTACCTCTTCAGGTTGTGTGCCAACACTTTCACTTTCGCTCATTTCGTTTTCTTCTTCGTCCAGCAAATCATCCTTATGGTGTATGGATGGAGAATCAACTGCCCCTTCTTCGCCGTCAGCTTTAACTGCCGCTTTTTCCATTGCCTCAGTTCGAACCTTGCGGCTATGTAGCATTCTTAACCTAAGAAAAAAAATATGGTTAAATCAAATTCCAAAATAAAAAACAACAAACATACTTTCTGACTTTGGTGTCCAAGAGCCACTTGTCTTTTCTATGCTGCGCGACCGTCTCAAGAGAGCCTTCAATCTGCCTGATCACAGCCTTATTTTGCAAAAGCTCGTTGCATATGAAAGCCAAAATGGCAGCCTTATCGGTGGCGCACAAAGCCATGAACGGTTTATCTTTGAGCATGTCGGACATTTTGTACGTCGGGTTTTCGTGCAGCAACTCGTAATATTGCGAGTTCTTTCCCACCTGGGTCTGCTGCATTTCGTTGTCGTTCTGGTGGTGATCCGCCACTCTCTTTTCGCGGTCTCTCTCGAAGTGCACGCCCGTCAAAGCTTTGACCTCGCCGGTGGCGTTGGCGTACAGATAGATTCGCAAAACTTCCGCCAAATTTTGATGGGTAATGTCCGCTTGACGCAAGCTCTGGCCCAAAATGGTGGTGTGCCTGGCCGGGTTGGGGATGCCAGGGTCTTCGATTGCGCACACCAACAGATGCGTCATCACCGAAAACAACTCTTCCTCGGCCTCCATGGTGTTATCGTTGGGAAGCAAGGCGTTCTGCAACGAATCCATAGTGGGCAGAGATTCCATGTCAAAGCCCAGAGTTTCGCCGAAGTTGTGCAAAAACTCGAAGACCATCAGGATGTCGCCGAAGGCTTTACCAGGCAATTTCATGTTGGGAATGCGATCGATTTCGGGCAGCGGTTTCTGATCTAATTCGAGGTCTTCGCATGGCTTGCGAATTTCAGCCAAAATTTCCAATTCGATCTTTCTTTGTTCTTTTTTCTTCTCTTTGTTCGCTTGCTTTTCGGCTAATAGTTGTTGCTTCTTGCGCTCTCTTTCCTCGAGTTTTCTGCGGTTTTCCAAGGCCTTTACCAGGGCCATGTGCTGGCGACGCCTTTCGCGTTCCTGAAGAATTTTGACTTTAGAGGGCATTCATGTTAAGTAAAAACATGCAGTATGCAGAATGGTTACATATTAAGATCGTTAATAAAAATTAGTAGGTAAAGCCATATAAAAATGAAACTGAGTGATGTCTTATGAATATTGAAAAAAGTCAATGTTTAATACCAATAATTGTTATAAGATACACCATTGATAATAAAACCAGAAACGTATAACCAAAATTAACCCAAAAGAAAAAGCGTTTGAAATTAAGAAAAAAGGTTGGTTGCATGCAGGTAGTCCAGTAAAGTTAGTCCGATTTTTATTGATATTATTGGAATTCATTGGGTAAGAATTTTTTTTGCGATCGTTAGGTTAGGTTAAAGGGTAACTAAGATTCATATTTTTTAAAAAAGTTTTCGTATTTCGTATTTAACGAGTAATAACCAAAAACCAAAAATTCTATTCATTCACGATTTAAATCAAGTGTTTTTTTATTTTAATCAACGATTTAAATCAGTTTAAAAAAATTTAAAACTAAAGCACAATAATATCTTGACACTATTTAAATAAATTCATATGAATAGAAAAACTGCTTATTTTGTTAAATAAAATAATAAAGGAATATACAAACAAATATATGCCACTGCCAATATAATATTATTATGGTCAAGTTATTTTAAAAAAGCTTATAATTTAAAAAAAGTCAAAGAAATAAATTGTTGATTTTTTAATAAAAATACACTGCGCGTCAAAATTAACGCATTACAAGTTAAAAAAATCCAACTCTAAAACGCCTTTACCAATATTTATAAAATTTCTCTAAAAAAACTTTTATAGGGAATTTTTTTTTAAATATGCTGTGAAAGACCGTATTTTTGTTAGTATACCCTGAAAATTTTGTACAAATCAAACAAACAGTAACGAAAATACAGCGCCTCAAAGTCGTCAAAAATGACCACTTTTCAGCAAAATAATCAAAAAGGGGTCATTTTTACCGACTTTGAAGCGCCGTATCTTCGTTACTGCTCGTTTGCTCGAAAATTTTCAGAATATAATAACAAAAATACGGTCTTTAACAGCATATTTTTTATTAAGTTAAAAAAAAATCCCTAAAAGTTATTTTTCGAACGTTTTTTTATTATTAAATAAAAGGGCTTTAAAAATATTTTCTCGAAAAACCCTCGAAGACGTAAACTGAGAAATAAGTTGAAGTATTTTTATACAAAATTTCATAAAGATTGGTAAAGGCGTTTTAGAGTTAGAATTTTTTTACTTATTATGCGTTAATTTTTTGACGTGCAGTGTAATTGTTTTTTGTTTTTTTAATCATGATTTTTTCGAACCCTGGCTTACGATGCGGTGATTCCCCGTCTTTCCGAGAAACCTGTTAATTTATTCTTTGCCGCGAGCAGCAAGTTCCGATTTCTGATTGAACGGGTCAATATTTTGCTGTTTGTTTTATCAAATAAAATTTTTACAATGCCAAAAATAAAAAATAGTTTGGTTTCATTTTAATTTAATTAACAAGCCCAGTAATTCTGAGAACCTACATTTCACATTTCTATACATACTATTACTAAAAGAACTTGTTATTGTGATAGCAACTTTCATTGACATGTTTATAAAATTTTAAAATTATATTAAATTAAGTAATTTTGAATTTTAAACATATATCTTTAATTCTCCAAGCAGAAAATAGAAATAAATATACAGCCCTGCTTTTTTTAATTTTTGGTATTAACAGTTAATTGTATGTTTAACAACTTTTGAATGACAATTTTTGCGATAGCGCTAATAATAACAAGTTGAGCTCATTTTTCTTGTCAAAAATGGTTATTTCATAAACTGTTTTTTTGATAAAATCTAAAATACAGCTGTTAATCTCTCGGATATATGCTTTCATAATGGTACCCTAACGATCGCAAAAAAAAAAATTCTCACCCAATAAATTGCAATAATAAATTGGACTAAGGGGAAACATCAAAATAAAAGAAATGCGACACAGATTAGTTTTTTACGGGTCCATACCAACTCAACAGTGTAGAGCATTTCTCGTTGTTTACTGATCTCCTGTATGTACATCTACGGAGAGAAAAATAGCATAACAGTATGTACACAAGCTATACACAAATTTATATTTTCTTTTTTTTTACAACTTTTGCATATTTTAATTTTGTTTTTGCAAAAGTCTATACAATGTTTTCCCACCCACGTTTTACTAGATTGTTCTTTCATATTTTCATATAAAACGGGATCATTTTATGGTTGATATAACTTTAGCACACTATATGATATGAATTACGTGAAAACAGAAACACTCCAAAAGATAAAAGCCAAAACTTCTATATAAAGTTTTGTAAACTTACTTGTTCTTTTAAAATAGCAGCCTGTTGTCTTTTTAGTTCTCTCTCCTGAAATAAAAAATGAAAATTTCTCAAAATTGTCATTTTTAAGATAGAAAAAATCAAATTATTGTATGCAAACTTTTACAATAATAAAAACATGTTACCAACCTGTTGTTTTCTTTGTTGTTCTTCGAGTCTATGTCTTTCTAACTCTTCCTGGCGCTTTCGTTTAGCCTGCCATGCAACACATTACAATATAAATAAATTGAAATAATAAAAAAATATAAATTAATAAAATTAAAAGCTCTATAGATTTGTTAATGGCTACTTACGACAAGCCATTACTATTAACAAAAATAAATATTACTTATATGATGTAGTACAAAAATAATAATTTGATGTTAAAAAACATGCGCAGAAGCGTATAATAATCATTTTTATTGTTTTTTTTTTAACAGTCATGCACATAATTTGACAGTGCCTCCGCTGTCGGCAACGGTACCCTCAAAATAAGCTCATGGATGCTGGTTGGATCCGATGCAGGCAATATAAAATTTGCCCGAGCCTTTAAAAAGTTTATAAGAACGTTGAATATTAGTATTAGGGGCCAAATAGCACAACTGATTAAATAACTAGTATTCTAGTAAATTAAACAAGTTCTAAGTAAAATAGAGTTTTTTTAAACTTGTTATTAAACCATTTAGTTCATTCTGAATGATTCAAATATAGTTGTCGCGGCGAGTGTTTCAAATTGCGTCAACAAATTCTGAACCAAGCACAGACAAGGACCCGCTAGGTTAACCGTATGTCGAGAAATCGGTTTTTGACATTCAACATTGATGACGAAATTTGAAACCGACAGATAACCGCTTTTTGATATCATTCCAAAATTACGTTTCGTATTCGTTTCTATCAACCTCTAACCGACCAAAATCGAGGTTTCGGAACATAACTTTAACATAGCGTTAATCTAACCATAATTGAATTCCCCATTTATTATACAAAATAACGTATATTTAAATTACGTTACGATAGTGCCCGAAAGAGTTTTTAAAAACAATTTATTTTTATTTAATAATAACTTTTGTTTTGGAATGAAATATAATTTAATTAAAATAAGTTTATTGAGTGATAGCTAATTACAGACTGAGAAATTATAATGAATAATTTAGTAAGGTAAAAATGCTGACAACTGAGTTAGCGAAATAAATGAGGTTGTGCATGATGTCCTTATAAGGAGTGACTCCGTCACGTAACTCCTCCCTCCTCAAAATGAAGCATCCCCCGGAAGATTGACTCTCTTGGGTGGAACTGGGTTGAGTTTTTCTTCTTCTTCTTCTTTTCTTTCATTATCTGCTTTGGTTCTATTGTTCTTTCTTCTCTTTGTAATTTTTATGGCAAGATATATGAGGTAGATTGCTATCGTAACATACAGGATAATTGTCATGATGCTGGGTGTGACAATATTGAGTGTTGAATGCTGGTGTTGATCAGTTGTTGTGAAAACATTTTCTGGGATTTCTTTTAGTTTTAGCGTTTTCAATTTAACTTGGAGATTTTGGATCTGTTTTTCTTCTATTGCGAGGTTGATGTTATTAAGTAAGGTGGGGCTGCCAAAAGAGGTTTCTTCAAATAATAGTTCTTTACCTCTGAAGATGATTTTACAATTTCCTTGTTCTATAAGGTAGACTCCGGTTAATGATTTGACTTGGTTTTCTTTTTGACATCTTAAACTTATTTTTTCATTGAAGGGGAAAACTGCCAGGTATTGGTTTATTTCTGGGATTGTTTCCAAATGATTTTCTGTTATTTCCAGTTTGATGTAGGAGCAGGAGTTGATGCTTTCCCGAAGGACAATATTTTCTTCACAAGTGATGTTGTGGTTTGTAGACAGGTGCTTCGCGCATTGATATTTTATACCTTTTTTACATACGTCATTCAATGGAATAAGATTGTTGTTTTCTTTTGATTTAAGTACGTATTGAGCTTTTGGGATAATAGTGACAAATTTATTTTCGAACAAAGTTGGAATAGGAATAATATGAAAAAGTTCAAAATCAGTTTCATAATCAATAGGAAGGGAAAGGAAAAATGTAATTCTACCAGGTTCTGTTCTACAATTAACTTCTACAATATCCTCAAATTCCAAAATATTTTCAAATTTTACTTCTATCGGAAGTTGCTTTTTATAATTGTTTTCAATTTTTTGTATTTCAGCAAAAAGATCTCTACCTGTTAAAATACTAGGGTGTAATACTTTTAATTTGCAAAATGTTAATGAAGTTTCCACGTCTTTTAAAATATTTAGTATAGTGGTATATATAAGTAAAATTTGGTTATGCAAATCTTGTGCAAACAAGATAAAAATTTGATTTTGTATTTGTTCATTTACAAATTTATTTAATTGTATAATTTTATCTTTTAAAGTATTTTCATTGTGTTGGACATCTTGAAGAGTGTCATTAAAATTTTTTATTATTTTATGATTAATTGAATACTGCAGTTTTACTTGCGATTTGATATTTGAGCTATCTTGCTGTATGTCTGCTAATATTTTTGAAAATTTTTCGCCATCGTTATTATCTAAGTTACCGGTTATTTCCTTAATTACCGTACCAAAACCGTTAATAAGCCCTCTTCTATTTCTATAACTACTTTTATCAAAACTTAAATCTATTTGTTTAATTTTTTGTTTAATTTTATTTTGTGTAAACTTTATTATTTTATCGTAATTTTCTAATTCCCTATTATACATGGATTTATTATGACTAATTAAACTTAACCTATCATATTCTAAATTTAAATTGTTATATTGTTCGTAAAGGGGTTCTAAATTATAATAGTGTACAAAGGTATGCTCGGAACGTTGAAGTTTCGCCGCTCCCAACCTTATAGGTAGTATGCCCAAATTTTTTGTTATGTTGAAGATGTCTGCTGCTCGGACGAACGTGAGCAACCTGCAAATAATAGATTTTGCTGGTTATTTTTATCTATGTTTCTTGGACGTTTGATATTTGACAGATGAATTTTATCAATAGTGTTAAAATGAGTCGGGTCGATGTTGGCCGTTTTTAAGTTCCGATTAATGAATTTTAATGTTTCTGGTTTATATTTATTTTTTGTTTTTGACTGTTTCTGCTTATTTTTTACAAACACCTTTTTAGGAATTACTTTTGGAATATCTTCCCTATTTTTATTTGCTTTATTTATAACTTTTACCTTTGATTTAATTGCCTTTTCGTTTATACTTTTATAGAGTAACTGAGTTTTTTCTTTATGATTAAAAATATAATTATTTAAAAGTTGTTTTTCTAGTTCTAGGTTAAATGGTGAGTCTGTGCCTAAGTGTCCCGTTATTATTTCTGATGGTTTTAATTTAGTTGACGTGTGTATAGTATTATTATATGCTAAAACAGCGTAGTTAACTTTTATTTCAATGGGTTCTTTTTTAAAGGTGTCTTGGTTGTTTAGTAATCTGATATGTTCTATTAATGTAGAGTGGAAACGCTCAATTGGGGAATTTGATTCGGGATGTTGAGAACTTATAAAATGAATTTTGATTTTATGAAGTTGCAAAAGCTCTTTTAACATGCCGTTGTTAAACTCACTACCATTGTCCGAGATAATTTGTTCCGGAATTGCGTGGTGTGTAAAATATTTAATCAGATTATTTATAACTTCTATACTGGAAGCTGAGTTAAGTTTATATGCTTGGCTATATTTAGAAAAAGTGTCTATTATTGTTAGAAATTTACATTTTTCAAGGGAAATACTATCCATGTGTAGTATTTGAAATGGCCTTGTAGCCGTAGGTGTTATATTAAATTTCAGGTTCAATGGGTTTCTATCATACTTGGTAAGTTGACATATTTCGCAATTATTTATATAATTTTGGATTGTATTTCTTTGGTTTGGAAAATAATAATGTTCTTTAATTCGTTTTTCTGTTTCCTCTATGCCGCGGTGGTTTGTTTTTCCCTCGTGATAATTAATAATTGTTTGCCTGATTTCGTCCTCACCTATAACGTCTGTAAGATATTTTGTACACCTAATTAAATTAATTTGTGAATTTTTAAAAAATGTTTGCAATACACAGCAAAATTTTTCGTAAATTGGGTCTTCGAAGTAGACATAATACTTAATTTTTGGCGCGATATAGTCTTTAATTAACTTAATCACGTCTTGTTCAAAATTATTTTTTGAAAGTTGTACTAACAGTCTTTGTTTTGTTCTATATAAAATTATTCTTGATGGCTCCGCAGGTGCATACTCGACTAGAGAAATTATTATTTGGTTTTTTCCGTAATTTACTGGACATGATACTATGGGTATACTTACAATAGGGTTTTCGGAATTAGAGTGTATTGTGTTTAGGTCACTTTCTTCCGTTTGTTTTGTCGGTTCAATGTCTTGACTACGCTCTTTGTCATCAATGTCGTCGGTTTCTACAATTACAGATGTGTTGTCCGTATCTTTAACCGCGGAAAAGCTGTCGTTGAATTTTTGCATGTAGTGCATTAAAGGTTCGTTGACGGTATTTCCGGTGTCAGGTTTGTTTTGATTGTCATTATTTAACTCTTCACAAAAATCATCTATGAAAGAGGAAATTGCGTTTTTTGTTTCTTTATGGTCAGTAATATTTAAATTAGGACAGGGTTCAATATCATATATGAATATTTTAATATTTGTGTTTTGAAAAATAAGTTTTATTAAGTTAAATATTATATTCCAATTTAATTTATCTAATCCTGAGCCAATTTTTGGCATCGCCACTGAGTAATTTTTAAAATTTAAACAGAGTCTTTTTAGGGTAATTAGGGCACTTATAATTGAAAAGTATGTGGGTTTGTCCCTAATTGATCTTTTTGTAATAAGATAATAAATGTTTCTTTTAGGATGATTAAGATATGCTACCTCACCTACTGGTTTATTTTGTGACTTTCGGGTATTTATGCAATTAAATTTTTCTTTGAGTTTACGAGCAATTCCTTTATTCATACTTAGACATTGCGATACACAGTGTGCAAGTGATGTCTCATCTTGACAATTAAATAGATCGTCATAAACTATTTTAACATTTGGGTTGGTTATTTGGAGATTGTTATAGAGTATTTCGTTAAGGGTTTTATTTTGTTTTACTGCGTTTTCAAATTCGATTAAGTTAATTTCGTGTTTAGGTATGTTTTGGTTGTCTCTAATGTAGTCCGAATCTTTATTGTCTTGTATAGTATTGT